CCTTCACCCACTCCTCCCGCGCCGTCAAGACCCTGTACGATAACGCCGTTTTGGCCGACGCGATCAACGAGGTGAGCGGGCGCGGGGTCCAAATATTTACCTGCGGTTTATGATTGGTGGGTCGCTGGGTCAGATTATTCTAGGTTGGCCAAGTGATTCGAAATATTTTTTTGGTTTATTTGTTGTTTATGATTGGTGGGTCGCTGGGTCAGATTAGTCTAGTTTGGCCAAGTGATTCGAAATATTTTTTTGTTTATTTGTTGTTTATGATTGGTGGGTCGCTGGGTCAAAGTATTCAAATTTCGTCGAGTCGAAATATTTGTTGGTTTATTTGTTGTTTATGATTTGTGGGTCGCTAGGTCAAAGTATTTAAATTTCGTCAAGTGATTCGTCATATTTGTTGGTTTATTTGTTATTTATGATTGATGGGTCGCTGGGTCAAAGTGTTCTAGTATCTCTAAGTGGATTGGAATATTTCGTTAGTTAAATTTACCTGTAGTTTATGATTGTTATTTTAGTGTCGCCAAATCGTATACCTAAAACTAACCTGGTTTTCCGATCGTGTCAATCCTTTTGAGGGAAATAATTTTTTCCCTTACATCAGATTTCATTCATGCAGTTTAAAAGACTAGACTAGACTAGGTACAAATGGATATAAGGGATATTTTCAAATACGAAGGATATATCAAAACGGTAAAAGAAAATAAAATGAAATAATAACAAGGGGAATGAAAATAATAATGATAATGATAATAATGATCATGATAATAATAATGATAATGATAATAATGATTGCAATAATGATAATAATAATAACGGTAATAATATTAATGATAACAATAATAATGATAATAATGATAACACTAATAATGATAATGATAACGGTAGTAATAATAATAATAATGATAATAATAATAACAATAATAATAATAATAATAATAATAATAATAATAATAAATTTGAAATTGATAATGATAATAAGAATGATAATAATAAATAATAATGATGATAATGATAATAGTAATAATGATATCAATAATAATAATAGTAATAATAATGATAATAACAACCATGATAATAACAAGAGTAATAATAATGATAAGGATAATAATTTTTATCATTACCATCGTCATTATCATTACTATTATTTATTCTTTCTCTCTCTCTACCTTTATCTGTATTTCTCCCTTTAATTCCAACTAATAAGTGACCCTTAAATTTCATCCAAACTACAATATTTACATGAGAAAAAAACACCATTAATGCGTTCATTAGCTCAGTTATATCACTTGAACATCTGTCTACAGTCCAATCCCATTTGCTCATAAATTATAAAAACAACAAAAATAACGTGCTTTCAACCCCTTAGGTCACCGGGAAGCGGAAGCGGAAGCGGCCCAGGTCTCGCCGGGAGGTCGTCCGAAGCTTCACCGGACACGATTTCCCTTTCGAGATCGGAGAAGCACGCCCTCTGCTGACGCCCGCCCTTCAGCTCACCAATCGCGGTGTCGGCCTCGCCCCCGTCGCCGCCCCCGTCCCCACCCCGGGCCCTCGAAGACAAAAGCGCGAGGAGCCGAAGCGAAGCGAAGCCAAGCCACGTCGCGAATCCGCAGGTCGCAGACGCCATCGGGACGACGCCAAGCCTCGCAAAATGCGCAAACCGAAGCGTACGAAATCCGCCTTCGGGGACCCGCGAAAATTCGTGTATCTCGACGACTCGCCGAACTTCTGCCGCAGGACGAAGTACGGGCCGGGGACGCAGGGGCGGGAGTGCCAGCTGGGGCGGAACTGCGAGAGCCTCTGCTGCGGCCGAGGCTACGACACCATCAACCGGCTCGTGGAGGAGCAGTGCCGGTGCAAGGTGGTGCTGCGGTACCGCGTGCAGTGCCACACCTGCTCGAAAATGACGGAGGTTTATACGTGCAAATAGGAGGCCAGGAGACAACGAGACGTGCACCTGCAGAAGGGAGGAGTGAAAGGGCCGTGGATGATTTATGGGACCAAAGTCGTTGATCCAGCGCCTGTGTTTACAAAAAATGACATTTGACCAAAAACGTTTTGTATGAATAAACATTGTGCGATCTCTAATATTTTTAAGGGTAATGACCAAGGTTTGTTAATGATAATCACAATGAAATTAGATAATAATGTAGTTATCAGGATGTGCTTAAATATGATGAAAGATAGATAAGAATGCAAACAAAAATATTTGACCCAAGGAAAAGTGTTCAAGGAGGAAACTTAGTTTCTTTATATTCTTACTATATTCATCGCTTACTTTATATATTTTCTATAAAGGACGAAAGACAGATCTTTTATCAGTACGACTTGTAACCACACATCTAACACGTAAGGAATTATGTTTATCTCACCACATTATTGATTAGCTTTTACTAATGCCTTTATCAAATGTATTGTAATGCCATTATGAAAATCTTTTATGCACATAAAGTAGGTGGGTGATGAATTTATGTGTATTTGTGGCCGGCAACGAAGTATACGTTATTGTGATAATATATGCATTATGATTTTAACTTTGAATATAATACCATACATCAACAAGTCACATTGTTTTAGTAGGCCTTCTAGGGTTCAAGTACAGATTCATTGTTACACACACACACACACACACGCACACACACACACACACATATATGTATATATATATGTATGTGTATGTGTTCATATATATATATATATATATATATATATATATATATATATATATATATATATATATATATATATATATGTATATATATACATACATATACATATATATATATATATATGTATATATATATATATATATATATATATATATATATATATATACATATACAAATGTACATACATATGCAGAAACACATAAACACATATATGTATATATATATATATATATATATTATATATATATATATATATATATATATATATATATATATATATATATCCGATATTGATGATTTTGGTATCGTTGGATTCCTCTCACTCTATACAATGCAAATATGTATTGCGCGGAAACCCCCTGTTAGCGGCAAACTTGGCTTCGATAGCAGGGGCGACGATGTCGGAGCGGCGGACGTAATACGTAAAATTACCCTAATAATATAACCCCACAGTGAAAATAATCATGGTTATTCACATGACTTTCCATTGCAGGGGGCTGCGCCCCCTGCGACCCCCCCTGGGGGGGGGGCTTCCGCCCCCAACCACCGCCGAGGAAACAAAACCTCCGCCACGTATTCACGGCAGGATAGAGCGCACACGAACTAAATGCGGAGCCGATAACCTACAATAACCTAGGATTTTGAAGGTACTAACCTGATTGATAGATGCCGCTAATTGTGGGGAGGCTGCTCCTTTGCCGCAGAAGGTGAAGGAGGCAGGGTGTGTCCGGCAGGAGGTCCTAGGCCGGAGGATACAGCGACGCTGCAGCACACAGGAAGTGGTGCAACCTCCCATTCAGGTCCTGGTAGTGCATGAGGAACATGCACCGAGCCAGGTACCCTGCGAAGTGCTTCTTCCTGCGGCCACAGAGCGGTACCTTCCTCTTGGCCTCCCTCCACTGCCGCTCGATCGTGTTCGTATGAGCTTGCGTGTCCGGATCTACAAAGTGGTACGAGTGGTTGACGGTCAGGTGCTCGAACCCCTCGTCAGAGAGGCAGTTGTAGGCCTTCCAGCAATCGGAGATGATGATCGACCCCGGGGCGATCCGTTCCTTAATAACTGCAAGGAGAGTGTCGCTGGTCCGATCCTCCACCGGGACGAGGAAGAGATCGCGCGTCTCCTGCAGATACCGCCGAAGACCCACTGCCCGTCAATCACTCGGCCCACGTTGTACTTTCGGCGCCCGAACTTGCTTTCGTCTATCTCTACGATCTTTCCTTGGCCGCCGATCAAGAGCCCAGTGAACCATCACCTCCCGGCAGAAACTCGACCAGTCGGTGAAGGTCGCTGCGCTCAGTCCCAGCTCGTGCCGCATGAGCCGGAACGTGAACCTCTCCCGGGCGAAGAAGATCACGAAGATCAGCAGGGTCTCAACATCGAGGCGGGATTGCTCAAAGAAAGAGCCCACGAACATCGAAGCGGACCAGTCACACCTCCGCCTCTTCTGCTTCCTGACCGCCACGACCCTATCACACTTGCATCTTTTCTTTTCAGGTCCAGGCGTGCTAGCTGCCCGCACCTGCCGCAGGCTCTCTCCCGACGGAGGAGGCCGTGGCGGAAGCACATCACTGACATTTCTTCCTGGCTGGTTGCTATTTCGCGGAGGAAATCCGTCTCCGAGTACGAGCACCCTCCACACTCGGCCATCGCGGCGGCTATGACTGACTACTGAACGCGACGGTTATTTCGGTTAGGAATACGGATGTCGTTATTCCAGAGGACGGGAAACTCGACCTTGAGGCCATCGGTGTAACATCGAGAGGCGCAAAACCCTCCGACATCGACGATGATTGTGTAACGCTCTAGCCTGCCGGGAATACGTGGTGGAGGTTTTGTTTCCTCGGCGGGGGTCGCATACCAAAATCGTCGATATCGGATATACGGACGTAATATAGAAAATTACCATATATATATATATATATATATATATATATATATATATATATATATATATATATACATATATATATATATATATATAATATATATACATATATATATATATATATATATATATATATATATATATATATATGTATATATATATATGTGTGTGTGTATAATTGTACATACATACATGTATATATATGTATATATATATATATATATATATATATATATATATATATATATATATATATGTATGTATGTATATATATATATATATATATATATATATATATATATATATATATATCTACATATACATATATATATATGTACATATATATATATATATATATATATATACATATATATATATATATGTATATAATGTACATACATACATGCATAAATATATATACATAAACACACACACACACACACAT